AAATTAGACTCGCAGCTGCTTATTTTTGGACGCAAAACGGTGATAAACTAGTAAAAAACCTATTATCTCTTCAACAAATAACCAAGCACCATGCCAATTATAGCTTCATGACTTATTTTAAATTAGTTTAGGAACTTTAATTCCATTACAGTAAACGTTCAAATATTTCTGACGATCACTCCCATCAAATGTAACTTTGGTGTAACGGCGGCAGCAATGGGCAAGAATCACTTTAATTTGAACCTGCTTTGCATGATTTTTCACTCTTTGTATGGTTGTTAACTTACGCGCTATTGGACAAGGAACCATTTCTGAAACAAACTGATTTTCCAGTCCTCCCTGGCAGGTATCACCAACGACTTTGCGATATCTGGCAACAGGACCATAAGCAAACAAAGTGTTCATGAGTATTTTCGCCCTCATTGCCATCTTCGCCTGTTTTCCTAGCTCCTCTGGGCCCGATTATTTGCTTTCTTTTATCCATGAGTGACTTCAACATATAAAGTGGAAAATTTTTTCGCGCAAAACCTCAACACTGATACATTTGTTCTCATACATTTATAAGAAGGAGAGAACTATCATGAACAACAAATAACTAACGTATACAAGGGAAATAAGGGTTTAAGAACGACACTATTCTATTACCGGTAGAAATATATTAAGTACCAGGAAATATATGCAGGTTGATTAAAAAACCTTTTTTCAGTTATGCTTCCTGCGTCTCGAGCGGCTCCAAGTCAGTAAGATAGAGTGATAAACAAGTAACAGCTGGAAGGGGTGAAAAAGTCTTGATGGAAATCAAGTGTAGACAGTTGCAAATTTAACACACATGCATTAACGCTGACTGGAACTATAGTTCAAGTGAATATATGAAAGATCATATATATTAGAACTGCGAAGAAAGATATGAAGACATGATTGATCATCGCAGTTATACACACAACTTAAGCAGTCGTGAAATTAAAACCTGAAAAACAAGAAAAATTCAGGTCTAGACGGGATTCGAACCCATGACCTCTGAGATACCGGTGCGGTACCCTACCAATTGGGCTATCAAGCCAACTGGGAGCTGGTCACATTGTGAGTTCGTAATATACCCGTAGATGGCGAAGTATACAAGTGAATATACGAAAGATCATACACTTGAATGATTGATCATCGCAGTTATACACAAAACTTACGCAGCTGTCATCTATCTTATACGATCTTTCATATATTTACTTGTATTCCATATATGGGTATATTATACGGGTCTATCTTTCCGAATACCCTTTTGTGCGGCGATATGTGCTGCCTGGAGGACAAAAACGAGGCACGCTTGTGGGAGTGAATCCACTGGAACTATCAGGCCCACACTCTTTGTTACCTAGATCAAAGTACCCCACATCACTATGTAAAAGAAAAGTAAACTTGGTTAGTTGTTTTGTTTCTTTCTTTTTTTTTATATACTAGTGAACCAAACCGACACAAAAGCCATATATTCACAGTGAAAAAAGATTACAATCAGTGTGGAACACTAGAGAGTATTCCAATAGACAACTAGGCCAGCCACGTTTACAGCCTAAAATAAAATATGGTGTTTATGATGGTTAAGTCACGTCGTTTTAGACAAACTTTGTTCCTCTCATAATTTTTTTCTTTTTTTCTTCAATTTTGAAAACTGTTATGAATTTGTAAGGGGCGTGGTATGACATGACACGTATGGGATGGGATGGAGTGGAGACGAGATGAGGCGGGTTGGGTAGGATCGAGGCGAAAGGCATGTCCTGGTATGCCATCGTAAGACATCGTATCATGGTTAGGATTGTAATATGGAATCTCTTTATTGACCTTACCATTCAAAGTCCTCTCTATTACACGAACAATTCTGATGTGTGATTGGCTGATCATAGTCATAACCATTGTAACAGTGCGCGTTGGTTATCCTTCTCTTGTAAGCAGACTTCCTACCCAGCAAGCAAGTCCCGTTGAGTTCATCAGATGGGATCCACTCCTTATAGTCCTCTTCCTTGCAAGGACTGCCTAAATTTTAAAGGAATATACCAAAAGCACACTTGTCCAGCGTTTTAAAAGGAACATTTACAATCTATGCATAAGTTTAGTTCTCCACTGTTATTGTTAAGCCGGTCTTAGTTAGACCCTATACAGCTGTGAGGAGCTTTTTGGTACCTTTCATTTACAAATGATTTCAAATTGATAGCCTTGTTCAAGTTGTTCTTGTTCAAGTTGGAGTGAACTCTCTCCTCTCAGGGCGTTCTATATAGGGGTTAAATCCAGGTGGAAGAAAAGGGCCCAAGATAACTTGCATGCCGGCACGTGCAGAGCGAACCCAATTTTCCCCTCGGATCGGAGAAAAACCATATATGGCAGAACTTGTGGCAGAACCTAAAGACCATTTATTAATTTAAAGAAGGAACACCAAAAGAGCCTTCGTAAAACTTAACCTGGCTAAAAACTAACGACCAAAACAATATAGTCATTAGCTGTCATCTTCAAATCGTGCAATTAATGACGGAAAACTCGTTATTTTTACCTACTTACTTGCTAGAGTTCAAATCACTCGCTCAAACGACGAATACTTGATTCAGGCGGGAATTACGAATGAGTAGCAACCACGACGGTGAATTATTTGTTATCGGTTAGTCGCCTGGTTTTTGTTCAGTTTTTGACAGTGTTTCGAACTTTTCCGGCATTTCTGGTTTTATTAAATGCTCATTATAAATAGCCCATTCCCGAGATGTCTTAA